CTCTTCTCAGCCACCCTGCCTCCAGAAGTCACACAACTACACAGTCTCCTGAATCATGGTCCTTTGCAAACCTGGATGGGAGTCTCCGCCCATGGGGATGGGCCCTGTCTACATGGCCTGACCATAGGGCTGCTGAGTGAGGCTCACAGCTCTGCCACAACCTTCGGAGCACATCGGTGGACAGAGGCAGTAGTGCGAGCCCATCGCCTCATGCTCACCTCCATGGGCTGGAAGCCCTGAGGGGAGTTGTCAGGGTCTCAGGAGGAAAATACTAGAATAGGAGGGCGTACACATCGGCCATTGGCTAGCTGTGTGCCCTCGGACAAGTTGCCTCACCTCTCTGAGCCTTAGTCTCCACATCAGCAAAATCGACCTTTTTTGTAAAATAAAAACAAAGCCCCAAACCCCGGTGCATAACATTTACTGATTGCAGTCTCCATTTTACAAGTGAGGAAGCTGAGGCACGGAGAGATTAAATCATAGCTAGGCAAAGACTCCTTAGACTTGGTACCATGATTCATAAAAGGAAAAGTTGATAAAAATTAAAACGTTTTCTCTGTGACAGTTACAAGAATGAAAAGGCAAGCTATAGAGTGGGAGAAAATATTTGCAAACCACATATGCCAAATTGCTTCTATCTAGATTCACTAATAATAAAGCAAACAATCCAGTTACAAAATGGCAAGGGAGAAGAAGAGAAATTTTGGAGCCCAAGGTCCTGCATGCTGGTCCCTGTAGAGCTGGGTCTAAGTCAGGTCTGGCTCCAAAATGCAGATTCTGTTTTTGGGGGGGTTGGAGTCTCACTCTGTCACCCAGACTGGGGTGCAGTGGCACGTGCTCCCGGCCACCGCAGCCTCGACCTGCGGGGCTCCGGCGATCCTTCCGCCTCAGCCTTCCGAGTAGCTGGGACTACGGGCATGCCCCACCACGCCTGACCAATTTTTTAATTTTTATTGTAGAGATGAGATCTTGCCAAGGTGCCCAGGCTGGTCTCAAACCCCTGAGCTCAGGCAATCCTCTCACCTCTGCCTCCCAAAGTGGGAAGGATTGCGGTCATGAGCTACCGCACCCGGCCCACATCAGAGGTTTTTAAAAATTATTGTTTAATTTTCTTTTTAAGCTCAGCTTTCTGCCTTGGGAGAGAGACCTGGGGGGCAGTGGGGTTTTTTGTTGTTGTTGTTGTTTGTTTTGTTTTGTTTCATAGCAATATTTGGTCAAGGGCAGGTTTCAAAGCTTTGCTCTGCCAGTTACATGCTGAATGCCCTCGGGAAAGTCACCAAACCTCTCTGAGCTTTGCCTTCCTGCTTTGTAAGACCAGCTAATAATCTGCACCCCACAGGGGGTGTCTGTGTAAGTCAATGGAGAGATCACCTATAAAACTACCGGCGCAAAGAGAGACAAGCCTGCAGGAATTACAAGCAGGCCAGTCTCTGGCTCCCCCGCATCCCACCCTCGCCGTCACAACTGTTGAGTCCCACACCTGTGACATCAGTGCACTCATGTGGCTGCTGGAATTGTCGCTGGCTCTCTTGGGATCCCACAGATGGTGTCCCGAGAGCCTGCACTTGGGCACATACGAGAGGGCAGATTTGATAGGCGCCCATCCCAACTGGAGCTCCAACATCCCCCCACCCCAGCACCCGCGGTGGCGTGAAGCCAGTGTGGGCTTCCTTGGCGGCCCAAGCTGTCCCCACGTCCCCTTCATGAGCCCAGCAGCAGGGGCTCTGGAATAGCTGGAGGGCAGCGCCCTGCAGCTTTGCAGACTGACAAGGGAAAGAGTTGGGCAAGCCGAAAACCCATGCCCGCCCAGCGCCCTGCAGGCTTCCAGGGCTGTCTAAGTCACCCTACTGTGCAAGACCCCCCAGTCACGACCAAGAGGACCTCAAGCCTTCAGACCAGGCCCCTCTGCCATTCCCCGAGCGCTTTCCTGGGAGTCCCCCAGCCGAGCCGGATGGAGCTGGAAAGAAGACCTTGCCCACACCACACCTCCAGCTTCCAGGCAAGCAGGGAGGCAGCCCGGCCTGGGGTATTGATTCAGTCCTTCCCTGGCCCAGAGGCGGCGGGCCCTGGGGACAGCCCCAGTCAAACACTGCTCTGAGCCCTGCAGGGAAGTCCTCCCAGCAGACCCAGCCACGAAGCAGGAGCTGCATTCCTAGGGCCACTTGGAACTCTCACACCCTAACCTCCTTTGCCTGCTTCACCCCCCACCACGCCAGGCAGCCCCGAAGCAGTCGCTGAAGAGCTCTCAGAACTTCCAACAGGCCGGTCTGCAGCTGCCTGCTCTTGCACCTCCCTGGGCTTGACCACAGTTCTGTGGGGTCACCCGGGACACGACAGTCCCAGGGACAGACAGGAAGAGAGTGCTGGCGTCTGAGTTTCCAGCGTATGCCCCCTCTCCCTCACCCAGCCAGCACCCAGCCTAGAATGCTCCCAAGACAGAGCCTTACCCACCAAGGAACCAGCCCTGGGAGCTGCTTTTCCTTCCCTGCACTATCTGTGATGCATCAGGAGAGATCCAGCATCTGGACTTGGGTGAAATGAAATTCTGGGAAACTCACTTCCAGAATGATGCTGAGGAAGAGAAAGGGCTTATGGGACGTGTGTCCCAAACTGAAGCTAGGAGAAGAATTGTGGCCGAGGCCCTCAGAATGCCCTCCAGTGTCCTCACCAGCCTGTCCACTGTTGGAAATTCCACCATTAGTGATTCTTTCCTTTGGCCGATACCTTTGAAAAAGGGTCATCTTCATGATCAAGGGTTGCTTTCCTGGTGGACAGCTGAGAACTAATTAGGATACCAGGCTGGCATTGTGCATGTGTTCTCTCCTGCTGCACCTATAAGTCGCTTGCAAAGTGCCACCTTACTATAACCCATCTTACAGCTGAGAAAACTGAGACTGGGAGAGGTGAAGGCACTGGCCCAAGTTTTCACAAATGGAGGGCCACCAGATTTAATCTCAAATCTAGCAAGAGACAGCTTTTCCTGCCAAGAGATCCTGGGTTTAGAAGGTAGGTGCAAGGAACTGTGTGATAGAGGACACGGCTCTGAGCTGTGGTGTGTGAGCACAGAGTGTGATGGGAGGCAGAGGGGAGAGACCCTAAATCAGACAAAGGCCAGAGGGTCCTTGATGCTGATGCCTGAGCTGGGCTTTGAAGGATGAGTAGGAGTAAGGTGGGAGGATGAGGGTGTAAACAGGATTTCCAACAGAGGGACGGGCAGCCCAAAAGATGCAGGAACAAGGAGGGGCGGGCTGCCTTGGGGGTACTGCAGGACCAGATGCCCAGGAGAGGGGGCACAGGAGAGGCAGGCATCGGACAGGAGGTCAGCAGGGCATACAAGGCCACTAAGGAAGTCCAGAGTCGCCGGTCCCAGGGGTGTGCTTTGGTCCCTATCAGCATCCTGATGATGAGGCGTCTGCCTCGGCCACTCATGGTGCCACGCTTTGGGAGGTTTCCTAAACAGCATCTCCCCAGTCTCAGGTGTTCCCTCCCCGGTCTAACCTCCAGCCCTGACCCCAGCTGGTGGGAAATACTTGGTGAGCTCCACAGGACAGGCTTGCTGAAGAACACAGCTGCCGGGGGTTAGGAGTGCCCATGTACACAACACACATGCACACGCACACACACAGGCAGGAAGACAAAACCTATCCCTAAAGCGTGTCCAGCTCAGAAGCCATCTGTCTGGTGTATGTGTGGAGATGATTTAGTTCTGGCTTGGTCACATGGGATTCCAGACACCGGAGCCCTGGAGTTCCCTGGAATGTGCTAGAGCTAAGGAGAAGGCATCCTGTCTGCCTACCCTCCCTCGCCCCACTTTGGTTGGGAGTTGTTGGTTTGGGACCTCCGGACTGGAGACAGACTCTTTGTCCAGAGATCCTGAGATTCTAGTTCCGATCCCAGAGCTGGGCTGGCTCCTTGCCATCCCAGTCAATGCCCAGGTGGCATTTTACAGAGAGGCTGGCCCAGCCCGGACGGGGGCTGTGAGGTCAGGGCGCTGGACGCCTTGTTCCTGGGCCACCAGCACTTCAGAGGCTGAGGGGGTCCTGGACGTTCCACCCCGGTCCGTGTGTTTCCCTCCCAGGGTCTAGCTGAGTAGCCTCAAACTGCCACTGATTGGCACCAGACTCTGAATGCTGGCATCACAAACCCTAAACATGGAGTGAGACAGCAACATCCCTGGGATCTGCCTGACCCTCTTGCGAATGAATGGCTCTCCTCGTTCCTCTGGATTTTGGAGGTGAGAAGGATCACGTAACAGCATCCTGCTCCCCAACGGTTCCTGTCTCTCTCCTGAGGACCAACCATGATGGAGCAGAACTTCAGGGACTGCTGGGGTGTGTGCCTCGGTCTCTATACTGTCCCCAACTGCCCGCTCCAGGAGTGAAGAGCTGAAGAGAGGAGCACTGTCCCCCATATGGAGACTTAACTGCTCTAGCCATGATCCCTTTTCAGAGCACCCTGGGCCGGAAAGGCAAAGAAGTTCCATCATGAGTGCCAAATCAATTGGCAGTGGCTGCCCAGAACACTGCACTGAAAAGAATTCTGATTCCACGCAGAAGCTGCAATCGATTGCTGATGTCTGCCATGGTCGCAGCTATTCACCATCCCTCACATCTACAAGCTGTGGATGACTTTTCCTAAACAGGGGACAATTCCCCAGCCTGGACTTTGGTAGCAGAGAGGGAGGCCCTGGCCACCCAGGTATGAACAACCCACCAGACTCTTTGCCAGATTCCTCAGGACCTTCAGAAGGAGCACGTATTGGCCTATCATCCCCTAATTTGCTGGGACAGTATCTGCTTTCTTTTCTGAGGATGTTAATGTTGGTTGTATTAGGAAACACTTGTCTAAAATAGAAACACATTACAGGGTTAGCTTCTCCTCTGCAAAAATGACTAAATGCTTTCTCGCTGGGGACTCGAGGCGGTGGTCCAGCTGTCACCAGAAGTAACCTCAGACCCATCAAGAACTCTACCCATGACAGGGTAGACAGGTCTCGGCACTGCTCTGGGATACAGTCTGCAGAAACACTTCCTGTGATGCTCTGCTCCAAAAGTCCACGTGACCTGTGGAGTTCCTGCCACCTCATTTGGACATCTTGGTCTGCATGGTGCTGGGTAGATAGAGATACCTCCAGATGGCATAGTAGTGGGTACCAGCACCAAATGCCACAAAGAGATGCCAGATGGCGTGGGCAAAGGGGATCCTCCCGTCACTCTTGAAGAACACCATGCCCAAGCAGTAGAAGATTCCTCCGGTCATCAGCTCCCAGATGCCCTCGGTGTTGGGCTGTCGGCAAGGACAAGGGTGGGGGGCACAGGTCAGAGCATCAGCCAGCAAGGCAGGTGGCGCCAGTCAGCCATTCTCCATCACCCAAAACTAAAGGGCATACAGGTGCGAGCCAGCCCAGAATCCCAGGCAGGGAGTCTCAAAACTGCGATGCCAACAATTCCCTTCAAATTCATTCTCAGATAGAAACTCTCATTTTTATTTTCTTTCTTTCTTTCTTTTTTGAGTTGGGGTCTCACTCTGTCACCCAGGCTGGGGCGCAGTGGCATCATCATGACAATCACCGCTCCTGGGCTCAGGCAATCCTTCCGCCTCAGCATCCTGAGTGGCTGGGACCACAGGCACACACCACCACACCTGGCTAATTTTTTCATTTTCTGTAGAGACGAGGTCTCATTGTGTCGCCCAGGCTGGTCTCAAACTCTTGGGCTCAAACAATCCATCTGCCTTGACCTCCCAAAGAGCTGGGATTACAGGCATAAGCCACAGTACCTGGCCAAAACTCACATTTCTATCAAAATGTCAAAGAATGTTTTTATAGCTTATTATCTTTTCCAGGCCATAAGACTTGAAAGCAGGGTCTTGACAGATATCTGCACACCCATGTTCACAGCAGGATGATGGTGATAGGGATGATAATAATGATTGTTGTTGTTATTTTGAGTCAGAGTCTCACTCTGTTGCCCAGGATGGAGTGCAGAGGCACGCTCACGGCCACCCCAGAGTCAACCTGCTGGACTCCAGCGAGCCTTCTGTCTTCGCCTTCCAAGAAGCCCAAGCTACAGGTGCACGCTACCATGCCCAGCTACATTTTTATTTATTGTAGAGACGAAGTCTCGCCAAGTTGCCTGGGCTGGTCTCAAACCCGCGGGCTCAGGCAATCCACTCGCCTCGGCCTCCCAAAGTGCTGGGACGACAGGCTGAGCCACTGAGCCCAGGCTAGCATTTCAATTTTCAAAGATGAAAAAAGTTCTACGAGTGGATTGTGGTGATGATCGCACAACAGCGTGAATGTGCTTAAAGTCACTGAACTGTACACTTAAAAATGTGAAGATGGTAAATGTTATATTAACGAACGTTTTACTACAACTATACAAAGTAATACATATTCATGGCAAAACAAAATCAGAGAAAAAAATAGTAAGAAAAAAGTTGTTCTGGACCCCAGAAACAAGCACCATTAACACAAGTTGTTTCTAGCAAAAGGAACTCTCATGGAACAGGAGGGAACTGAGCGGTAAGAAGAATCGACCAAGCCTTCACCCCACCTACTGTAAACAGGAGTTTATAGTATCCTTCCAGAATGTTCGATACCATTGCAATATACAGCGTGCGGTGCAGGGACATGTATATGTCCATAAGAACACATCATTTTTGAATAAATGGGATCACGCCATCCCTACCGCCCTGCAACTTGAGTTTCTACGAAGTCAAGTCTCCCGGGGTTCACCCTACTGTGTCCAGAGACAGATGCTCCTGACTTTGAACAGCTCGGTCACAGTTCATGGCACATATCACAACTGAAAATTAACTATATAAAAATGACAGGAGATTGGCCGGAGCCATGCCCCCTGGAGTGTGCCAGGAGACTGCGTGGGAGGCCATCTTTTCTTCCTGCAACCCCTGGCGGGAGCGTGGGACTTCCATGTTCTGCTGTCTTCAGCAGCGTGGCTCGGGTGGTGAGGTGAGCGGGTTTGGGCTTCCCAGAGGAGGTGGCGCTGCCTGAACAGCACCTAAAAGTTAGGCAAGGAGAGGGGTGCTGTGGGAGAAAGAAGGGTGTTCTGGGAGTAAGCAAATTCCCAGAGAGGATGGCGAGAGAGCTCAGTGCTCTTCAGGAAGTGAAAGAGGCAGGCAGTAAGGCTGCACCAGGGTCAGAGAAGGGAAGTCCTTTAAAATTAAAAAAAAAATTAAATTAAATAGCAGGGCTCGGTGGCTTAGCCTGTCATCCCAGCACTTTGGGAGGCTGAGGCGAGTGGATTGCCTGAGCCCGTGGGTTCGAGACCCACCTGGGCAACTTGGCGAGACCTCATCTCTACAATAAATCAAAAAATTGCCAGGCGTGATCTCATCATAAAAGAAAAATGTGTCAGTGTATGTCTGCATATCCACACATGCTTGCGTATCAGTTTTAAAAATGGGAGACACACAACAAACCACTAACGGGGGCTGCAGCTGGGGCGTTGTATTGGGGGGGGAAAGGAAGAGTGGCATTTGCATATGGGACTTTTTTTTGCAGTGAATGTCTAACTAAATATACATTTACTATACGTAAGTACCCATAAGCCCTTAAACAAATATAATGCATAGTCAGGCAGAATGTGGTGGCTCACGTCCATCCCAACACTTTGGGAGGCCAAGGTGGGAGGATTGCTCAAACCCAGGCATTTGAGACCAGCTTGGACAATGTAGTGAAAAAATCAAAAAATTAGCTGAGCATAGTGGTGTGCACCTGTAGTCTCAGGTACTTGGGAGGCTGAGGCAAGAGGATCACTTGAACCGAGAAGGTTGAGGCTAGGGTGACCTGTGATCGTGCCACTGCACTCCAGCCTGAGCGACAGAGTGAGACCCCAACTCAAGATATATAGGTATATATAGTACATGTATATAAAATGCATAATTTGTGGTTATTCTATAATTGAATAGTAAAGACTTAAATATATATATTTTTTGAGTCAGAGTCTCACTCTGTCACCCAGACTGGAGTGCAGTGGCATGCTCACGGCCACCGCAGCCTCAACCCGCCGGCCTCAGGAGATCCTTCTGCCTCACCCTTCCAAGTAGCTGGAACTACAGGTGCATGCCACCACACCAAGCTAATTTTTTGATTGATTGTAGAGACGAAGTCTCACCAAGATGCCCAGTCTGGTTTTGGACCCCTGGACTCAGGCAATCCCCTCGCCTCAGCCTCTCAAAGTGCTGGGATTACAGGCTTGAGCCACCACACCCGGCCTTAAATATATTTAAATAAAAATAAACTTGAGGGGGAAAAAAGGAAGGAAATCTGGAAAAATAAATACAAATCATAGGGAAACTGTCGAAAAACAAGACTCATGGGTCATGACCTTGCTGCCGGTTCTAAAATGCCTTGGCTGGCCACATCCCCTCAGAGCCTAAGTGTCCTCATTTGTGAAATGTCCCAAGGATGCCTGGGACAAGTGTCACAGCCTATCGCAGGGAAGCGAGGCCATGAGGACTCTCCTGCCCTCCGCAAGGGCTCGGTGAGTGTGCAGGAAAGAAAGAGCCCGGTCGCTCCTTCCTTGCTTGGTTCCCTGTGCCGAGAGGAGTTGAGGATGCAGAAGCATCCAGGGAGACATACATGAGACAGGCTTGCCTCCGCCACCAATTATACTATTAAGACTTAACGTAAGCCGGGTTCGGTGGCTCAGCCTGTAATCCCACGCCTTGGGAGGCTGAGGTGAGTGGATTGCCTGAGCCCGCGGGTTCGAGACTCGCCTGGGCAACCAATTGGCGAGACCTCATCTGTACAATAAATCAAAAATTAGCTGGGCGTGGTAGCACACGCCTGTAGTTCCAGCTACGTGGAAGGCTGAGGCGGAAGGATCACCGGTCAAGGCTGCAGGGGCCAGAAGCGGCCACTGCACTCCAGTCTGGGCGACAGAGTGAGACTCCAACTCAAAAAAAAAAAAAGTACTCACTCTGTTCCAGACACTGTTCTAGTCACTCTACATGGATTTGTTTTTTTCATTTAATCCTTAGACAGGAGAACTGAAGTACAGAGAGGCTCATGGACTCACTGAAGGGGAAGAACAGTAGAGAGTAAGTGGTGGAGAACCCAATGGCTGGGACTCCAGGGGCTAACCTCCAAGCTCGACTGCCTCTTTGGGCAACTCAGGCTGGGCCTCAGTTTCCCCATCTACCAAAGGAGAAGGTTTGACTTGACAATCCCAAGGGTCAGGTCCAGCTTGGACACGCTGGGTCCCCTCTAGCCTGATGGGAGGCCCATGCTGGGTAGACGGGACTTACCATGGAAAGGATGACCAGGGCGGGGAAGAAGCCCATCACCATGTAGCACAGCAGCTCCACAACCTTGTACCTGGCAGAAGACAAGCACCTGGCCTCAGACATATGTCCCTGGGAGGGAACAGCACATCGCTCCCTATTTCTGGGGAAGAGGGAATACCCTGACCAGAACAGTGAGAGGAAGACTCTTCTTTCTCTGTCCAGCACTCTTCAACTCAGATTTTACATTCAATGGGTGCTGGCAGTCATGACGCCTTTCCCTCTCTGAGACTCAGTTTCCACATCTGTAAAATGTATGTTGGAGCTAGAACAAGGGTTGCAAATACAGGGCGTAGCATGCATATGGGCACTCTTGATGCTCAGCCTGTGGCAGACATTACTATTCGATCCCAGCATCTTTCTCCCTTGGGTCCGAGCAGCCATTCTCAATCAAGCTGAGTTGCTGTGTCAGCTGAAACCTACTTGCTGTCTTGGACTAGATGTCCTCCAGAGGGCCCTGGGCTTGGAGACTGCAGGAGTCTGTTGTTCCCTTTTGCTTTGATAGTATTGTTGCTCCACTTAAGTATTCCTATTCTGTCACTAGGCAGGATGGGGGTGCAGGGAGTGTGGCTCTGTCAGAGCCTTTTCCTTCCCTTTATCTGCGGACACAGTTTGGGGAAAGCAGGTGACGTGAGACCCAGTCTGATGGGTGCGGCGGATTGACCCTCTAGGCTGTGGGAGCTGGTGGTCATCCATGGGCCCAAACCTTGGAATGCATGTTCCACATGCTTGTGGGATCACCCTGGGGTCCCTCCTGCCCAGGGGTGCAGTCCTGCTGGAGCATCGAAGAGAACCCCATGCCCCCGACACCCCCGGACCTGGCTTACCGCTCATGAAAGAAGAAGACATAGACGGTGCCCACGGAGGCCATGATCCAGACCAGCCAACGCATGTGGGAGGCCCAGGGGCCCAGCTCTCGAAGGTTCAGCCTGGGAGAGAGAAGGCCAAGGCACAGCCTGAGGCTGGGGGTACCCAGCCCACAATCTACCACTCATCACAGGAAACTGATCCCGAGAGGTCCTGTCCCCTGCAGCTCCCAAGTGGGACACGGGCTCTCACGGAAGACGTGTGAGGAGGCAGAGAGAGCACCAGACGGATTGAAATGGCAAGTTGTTATTCGAGGAAAATTAGCAAACTGATCACAACGAGGAGGAAAGGAAATGAGCACCTGAGACGCGTGGGACTGTAAGCAAGTGAAGCTGTGGAGAACAACTTGGCGGAAGCCATCAGACCTCGACACACACTCACACAAAAGACACAGATGAGACTGTTCATCGCAGCATTGGTCCCAAGAGAAAAAGCCTGAAAAACCACTCCAATGGCTACCAGACAGGAAGGGAAAATGAAGCTGGTATCCATCTCTGCTGGTTATTAATTTACTGCCTTGCAAATCCAATTTCACCCTTCTTGCCTGCTCTGTGATCATGTAGCTGGCCCTTTGTAACTGACACATTGTTAGGGTCTGGTAGCACAGTGGCTCATGCCTGAGTTCTAACACTTAGGAAGGCTGAGGCAGAAGGATTGCTTGAGGCCAGGAGTTCAAGACCAGCGTGGGCAACATAGTGAGACCCCCATCTCTACAAAAAATGAAACATTAGTTGGGCACGGTGGCCTGTGCCTGTAGTCCCAGCTATTTGGGAGGCTGAGGTGGGCAGATCACCTGAACCCAGGAGACCAAGGAGTTTGCGAGGAGTACAAGGCTGCAATGAGTTATGATCGTGTCACTACACTCTAGCCTGGGTGACAAAAAAATTTTTAAAGGTTTTGGTACTCGAGGGACTTGACGGGAGGAAGTCTCCCTCTCCCTGACTCCTGCGATTCTCCTGCCAGGATCTGGTGACTGTGCTTTCTTCTCTACTGCTCAGCTGGGCAGTCCCTGCAGGGCGAGGCCTCAGCAGGGTGCAGCTTTCTCCAGCATTTGGCCTCAGCGAGTTGTCTCCAGCTGGTGACTTGGGCAACGGCAGCACGGCCAGGGGCCCCAGACAGAGCAGGTCTGTGCTCAGTGCCCTGCTCCCTGCACTCTTCCTTCACCCACACGAGCTTGGGGCTCCCACGGGGTGCCCTGCCTTACAAGCTGGCTGTCCAGCTGCCTAGAGCTGTCCCGACTGAACTGCCCAGAAATGCCCTGGGTACCCGCAGAGGAGGCCTCTCTAACTCCTGGTTCAGCAGTGCCACAGCAGCTTCCCAGCAGGGCGTGAGTGCTAAGGTCAGGCATGCCCTGTGGATGGCATCCCTAGAACCCGAGAGGGCAGATTTCCAGCAAGTCGCACAAGCAAACTCTTCACTGACTTTGCAGCCACCCAGTGTGCCAAAGCCATGTCTTCACAGATGAGCTGGGATCTCAGCCCTGATCAGGCTCTTCCTCGAGCACTTGAGGTCACCTTCAGTCCTAAGAGTAGGAGTCATCCCTTGTGTCTGCTACCACTAGATTCCTTTTTTTTTTCTGAAGTGAAAGAGTCTCACTCTGTCACCTAGGCTGGAGTGCAGTGGTGTGATCATAGCTCACTGCAACCTCGACCTCCTGGGCTCAAATGATCCCACAACCTCAGCTCCCAATTAGCTAGCAATACAGGCATGCGTCACTATACCCAAAATATTTTTTGTAATGATGGGACCTAACTACATTGTCCAGGCTGGTCTTGAACTCCTGGGCTCAAGCGATCCTCCCACATCGGCCTCCCAAAGTGTAGGGATTACAGGCATGAGCCACTGCACCCAGCCCAGACTCTTCATAACTGTCTTTAACCCTTATCAGTCAATTCTCTGCCACCCATCCTCTGTTAATAATTCTTGATACAAGAACACCTCATTTTACTGAGCTTCACTTTACCGCACTTTGTAGATATTGCATTTTTTTTTACAAATTGGAGGTTTGTGGCAACCCTGGGTGGAGTTAGTCTATCAGTGCCATTCTTTCAGCATCATGTGCTCACTTCGTGTCTCTTGCATCACATTTTGGCAATTCTCACAATATTTCCAACTTTTTCATTATTATTGCATATGTTATGGCAAGCTGTGATCAGTGATCTTTGATGTTACTATCGCTATTGTTCAGCAGGCCACGAACTGGCTCTTGCAAGATGGTGAACGTAACCAATAAACATTGTGAGTGTTCTGACGGCTCTGTTGACTGGCTGTTGCCCGTCTCTCTCCCCATCCCTATTCCCTGAGACGCAATAATATGGAAATTAGGCAGTTAATAATCCTACAATGGCTCCTAAGTGTTCAAGGGAAAGGAAAAGTCATACGCTGTTCACTTTAAATCAAAAGCTAGAAAGGACCACGCTTAGTGAGGAAGACATGTCAAAAGCCAAGACAGGCCAAAAGCTAGGCCTCTTGCACCCAACAGTTAGCCAAGTTGTAAATGCAAAGGAGAAGTTCTTGAAGGACATTCAAAGTGCTACACCAGTGAATACATTGATGGCAGGAAAGTGAAACAGCCTTAGGCTGATAGGGAAAACTTTTAGTGGTCTGGATCAAACCAGCCACAGCATTCCCTCAAGCCAAAGCCGAATCCAGAGCCAGTTTAGCAATAAAGTGTTTCTATTTATTTATGTATTTATTTGAATTGGAGTCTCACTCTGTCGCCCAGGCTGGAGTGCAGTGGCACGCTCACGGCCACCCCAGCGTCAGCCTGCTGGACTCTGTGGCAATCCTTCCACCTCAGCCTTCCAAATAGCCGGAACTACAGGCGTGTGCTACCACACCTCATTTTTGATTTATTGTAGAGATGAGATCTTGCCAAGTTGCCCAGGCTGGTCCCGAACCAGTAGGCTCAGGCAATCCACTCGCCTCAGCCTCCCAAAGTGCTGGGATTACAGGCTGAGCCACAGAGCCCAGTCAAAATAAAGTATTTTTAATCAAGGTATATACATTGTTCTTTTAGACACAATGCTATTGCACCCTTAGTAGACGACAGTATAGTGTAAACATAACTTTATATGTCCTGGGAAACCCAAAACTTTATGCGACTCATTGTATTAAGATAGTCGCTTGACTGCGGTGGTCTCTGGGATATGCCTGGATTACATTTTCCTTGTTCAAATCGTGGTATGGTTTCTGTCTCCTGACTGTGCCCTGTCTAATACATGATTCTGGGGAAGATTCACAGCAGTTTAAAAAATATGAGGACCATCTGTCTGTACCAACATGGATAGATCTCCAAGGTATATTGCTAGGTATCTGGAGGAGGGAGGAGTCAAGGATGACATGGCTGTATCATTTGTGCATATGAAGGACACAGAAAAAAATGTGAACCCCCCCAAGTGGTTTTGTCTTGGAAGGGGCAGGTAACCGTGGTGGTGGGTGCAAAGAGGGTCCTTTGAATTTTGTTCTGGAATAAATTTCTTAAATGGGAATGTCTTATGTAAAACTTCTGGCAAAAAAAAGTGAGCTGTTCAGAGTCCAACTGTCTTTATAAGAAAGTTAAGTACTACTGAAATGTTTAAAGGCACAAAAAATAATAGCCCATCTCATGACCCAAAATAACCATCAGTGAACATCATTCTAGATTCCCTTCCAAGCAGTACTAAAAATAGGCTGTAGGGTAGAAGGATAGGCTGGGAAGAGGGACAAGGAGAAAAGGTGAGAATCAAGTTACAGACATCATTTTTAGTTAAAAGAATTACATTTCATTTTGACTTGACTAGAACGGAAAACGAGCCCCTAAAAATTCTTGCTGAATTTCAGACAAACGTTTCTTCATCATAAAATGCACCTTGACTCTAAAGAGGGTAAATTAAGTAAAGCATAAGAAAGGTGGATTTTTAAAAAATGCTGCATTTCCCATGCTAGCTTTCTCAACTTTCCCCGCCAGGAGAGACGAGAACATCAGCACACTCACATCTCTGTCTTTCCTCCACCGACGGCCTCATGTTTTCAGAGATGCTATTAGTTTCCCATTCCCAAAGTTGTCGATTTTCTTGTTCTTTTTTAGAGATAGGGTCTCCCTCTGTGGTACAGAGTGCAGTGGCATGATTATGGCTCCCTGCAGCCTCAGACTCCTGGGCTCAAGCAATTCTCCTGCCTCAGCCTCCCAGATAGCTGGGACGACAGGCTTGAGCCACTACACTCAGATAATTTTTGAAGTTTTTGTAGTGATGAGGTCTCATTATGTTGCCAAGTCTGTCCTCAACCTCCTAGCCTCATGTGATCCTCCCACCTCAGCCTCCCAAAGTGCTGGGATTACAGGCATGAGCCATCACGCTCGACCTATCCTTGACATTGATTTCTAGTACAATTCTGAGTGTCCTTCCCCTGCTAATCTAGGACCTGAGTTTCTGTTCTGTACCCTAGCTGTGACTGATGGGCGCTGCTCTGTGCTGGGCTGTGTGCTGGTGTCTGAGGGCATGGCTGCTAACTAAAGTCCCCTGCCCCTGTGGAACTCACAATTTCACAGGGAATGCAGAGGCTGGCAGGCCCAGTGCTCACAAGTAAATGAACTGCAGTCATTGTAAGCGCCATGGCAGAGGGTCACAGGTGTCAGGTGGGCAGAGGCTGTGGTTTGAGAGCAGTCCAAAGAAGAATCCGCAGGACTTGGGATTGGTTGGTGTGAAGGATGGGGAACTTGGATGGTGCCTGGTTTTCTGGCTGGACACCTGGGTGTGTGGAAAGAGGGGAACAGGGGACCAGGTGGTATCGAAGCATTTTCCCTTGTATTGCTCTGGTTTTCAAGCCGTTTTCTGCAGAGCCCTGGAATTTCCCCCAGAGGACCACGGAGAGGGTGGGGGTGTGAACGATTTGGCTTCCTCATCCCTTCTGCCACCAGAAAAACCCCATTCAGCTTTTTGGTTTTTGTTTTTCACGAACCAGGCTTTCATGTAAAGTTCCTGCATAAAATCTGTATGTAAGGAAAGGGTGATACATGATTAAAAAGAAGGTAAAAGCCTCTCCCGTAGTAAAAGAAAATAGATTATAGAGTCAGACCGCT